ATTTGTTTGTCGCTCTGCGAAGTATTTTTTGTTCATACATACACACTTTTCAAAACATTTTCTCTTTCACACAGGAACATTCCAGGCTTCCGCCTTAAGTTTGCGCCTTCTGGTGCCGCCAGGGGGGCCCAGCGCAAATCCAAGAAATCCGCGCGGATACATAATATATATATATATATATATATATTATATATATATATATTATATATGTACACATATATGTATGCAAAGATCGCCGGTGCTTGTGTGTGTGTGTGTTGTGTGTGAGAGTGTGTGTGTGTGTGTGTGTGTGTGTGTGTGTGTGCGTGTGTGTGTGTCTGTGTGTGTGTGTGTGTGTACGGATCTCTTTGCCTTACTTCTGGCGCGCGAGGGCGGCCGCTCTCCGCGCCCTCCCGCGGTCTCTGGCGCGCCAGCGGCCCGCGCTTCTCTCCGCGGGTGCCGCGCGACGGCCCGCAGGAAGCCACGGCTCGTGCGGGAACCCTCCCGGGTGACAACAACCTATATATCTCCACTGTTCCCTGGCCAGGCCCATCCCGGACCCAGGAGCTGTGTACACGCCCCCCTGGCCAAGCCGGGAGGGCGTGACGTATGCACCGCTGCCGGGTTCGGGCTCCCCGCCTCGGTACGGGGGCCCTTCGCGCTGCTGGCCCCGCGTCGTGCGGGAGCCCTCGCTCGCCCTTGTCCTGGCCCTTTCTTCCTCCTCCACCTCCTGCTCTCCCTCCGCCTCCTCTTCCTCCTCCTCCTCCTCGTCCTGGCCCCTCCCCCTGTCCCCCGTTGGCCCCCTGCCCGTGTCCGAGGAGGGGACGGCTCGGAGGCGGAGAGGGCCGCCCGCCCTGCCGGGTCGGTCCGCGACCTGCGCTGCCTCGCTTCTCGAGAGCGGTGCTGCGGCCGCACTCTTTTTGCTGCGGGCCTGCGCCCGCCGGGCATCGCCGAGGGAGGCTCAGGTGCTGCGCTCGTTTCGCACCGGTCGTCCTCGCCCAGCTACGGGTCCTGGGCCCTCGCGGGTTGCGGGGCCCAAAGGTATGCACCACCACCACCTCCTTCCATCCCCTCCCTCTCCCAGGAAAGAGGAGACGAAGAGGAGGGTGGAGGAGGGAGGAGGACTCGGCGTGGTGGTGGTATATGTTCTTGGCGCCCGCGCGGCTCGGAAGGTGCAGCAGACCTGCAGGGCCCCGGCTGTCCACAGCGTCGTCTCTCAGGGGAGGCGCCCCTGGCCCAAGGCGTCCCCCGCTTCTCGCTCCATTCTGCTGGAGGGTCTGGCCCCGGATCGTCCTCACTGAAGCGTGTTTTCGGCGTTGCCCCAGCAGCACCCCTAGGGGCGACGCGCGCACCGAGAAATCTTATAGTATACGCGTCGTGGCTGGCGCTTTCAGGCCACACCGCTAGGGAAACGATAGACTACAAGATGGGTATACTATATGTTCGGGTCGAACGTGCGCCTCCGAAGAGGACACCTAGTACTAGTATGTCTCTGTGCGTACCATGTTTTGCCTCGGGAGGTTCTGCCCACCCCCGAAGGGGTGGGATTACGCTTGCGCCTGGCCCCGTCCCAGCCAGACGCACCCGCGGCACCCCTCGACGAGGCAGGGATGAGCCCCCGAGCCAAGCCAGCCCGCCCGCGCGGATCCGTCCCCGTTTGGGCGGACTGGTGCCTGAGTGCGAGTGACGTGATGTGTAGCGCTTGGGATCGCCACGCGATTCGTTCGGCTCTACCGTCGCTGCCACAGCTGGCGGCCTGCTGCAGCGCACCGGAGCCGAGACTCCGTCGCGACAGAACGCGCCAAGCGGCTGTCTCCCACTGTCCAAGGCGGCGTGCGGCAGCTGGCGTTGCAGCCTAGCCGATTGGAGAACGCCGGCGAAGTCTCATATGGCAGCCGGCCGGAGTATAGCAAGTAGTGCCTCTGCGCGAGCATTTCTCGCGTTCTTGTCTGTGCTGCGCGGAGTATGCCAGCTTGCCGCTGACTGTCTGGCTGGGTGTGCCGATTGCTTTCGCGTTCCGGCCGAGTCTCTCCCTGCCTCAGCGGTCATCGACGTGAGCGGAGGGCTCCTCGGCTTGGAAGGTAGGCGGGCAGAGCAGCGGGCCTGGCCACTCCCGTACGGGCGGCGCCGCGTGACTTCAGACAAGGCACCAGTTGAAGGTCAAGTCTGCCGAGTGAGGCCTGCCCTGTGGGCTGAGATTCGAGGGCACGCGTAGGAACGTCGCAGAGCAGGGCGTTCGAGGCCTTTGTTGGGGCAGTGCAGTTCCAGCTGACGTCTGAAGATCTTGCTGTGCCCAGGCTGCCAGGAAAAGCGAAGCAACGCTGCCCTAAGCAAGGGAGAATCATGCAAGGAGAGGGGGAACACGGCACGGATATGTATTTAGAGGAGTCCGCGGCAGGCATTTGCGTCGTTGGCCTCCGCTGTAACCCTTTCTACTGCTGACACCTCTTCTCGGCGCCTCGCTAGAGTCACCAGCAGGTTCGACGAGATCAAGACCAAGCCGAGCTGGTTCATTATCCGCCATTTCGCTGGCCCTGTGCAATACTGCACGGACTCTTTCCTCGACAAGAACAGGGACTCCCATACTCCCCCCTTAGCACGGTCCGTGTTATCTTCTTCGTCCTCCTGCGAACTCTTGCTCCATCGCTCAGGCTCTGATTTTCTCTTCGGCTTGCATGCTGGACTGTCGGTGACAAGCAGGATTCGGCTTAACTACGCTGTTGATAATAGCGCGCTGCTCAAACAGACGATCATCTTCTGACCATCCGTAAGAGCCTCGAGGGGAATCAGGCAAATATGTCTTCGAGGTAACGTCCTGTTTGAGTGGCCATCTTGTCCCGACTCGCACCCGTATCCTATGGCGGGCCTTTGTGGAGGGCTGGTCAGAGGGCCAGTCGTCTTGAGGGGATCGGGGAACGTTTATGGAGTGTTACTAGGAGTTTCGGTGAAGTGCTGGCTGGCCTTGGTCGGGTCCAACAGGAATCTTGGATGGGGTTCCCTCGCCGCCTTCAACAGCGAAGGAAACCAACATATCCTATTGCGCTGCCGCCTATCCGCCAACGCGCTGTAGAGGAAGGTGGGGAGGGCTGGATGTTTTTTTGGGGATGGGGGGTGGAGATGATGTGGGGTGTGTGGGTGTGTGGGTGCGTGGGTGAGTGGGTGGCTCTGGGGGGAAGGGCACGGTGGGCCCATGCATTGCTTCGCAAAGGAGCGGGGCCGAGGAAGAGGGAAGGGGGCTCGACACGCACGCCAGTCGCGGCACCGCGTCCTTTGCCAGTTTGAGGGTTTGTTTGTTTGTTTGTTTGCTTGCTTGCTTGTTTGTTTGTTTGTTTGTTTGTTTGTTTGTTTGTTTGTTTGTTTGTTGTTTGTTTGTTTTGGGCGGGGGGGAGGGGCAGGGGCGGGGGTGGAGGCCTGGAAGCATATCACGCGTTCGGTGATGATGTTGTTGACGATGTTGATGATGCCGTTGATGCTGATGATGATCACGAGGTTGTGATGAGGATGTTTGTGATTATGGTGATGGTGATAATGTTGTTGCTGCTGATGATGATAATGATGAGGCAGATGATGTGGATGATGTGGAAAAGATTGAAAAGGCCTCGCCTCCGAAGACGTTGGTGCCTCCACCTCGATCGCAGGGTGGCGGCAGGGCAGCGCAGAAGCCGCAGGGAGTCAAAGCGAGGCCGCCTCCCCGCTTGCGGAGAAGCTGGTGGAAGGCCGAAGGCTTGTCTGAGGCCAGCGGGAATAGACGATGCGCCCCCCCCCCCCCCCAGAGATGATCAGATCTTTGGACTTGTAGGGGAACGACCACTGGCACAGACATGACAACTCGGAGGTCCGCGCGGGTTTCTCGGATCCGCGCTGGACCCCCCCTGGCGGCGCCGGAGGCGCCGCCCCTGGCGCGCGCCGCGCACCAGGGAGGGGGGTCCAGCGCCGATCCGAGAAATCCGCGCGGACCTCCGAGTTTTCACGTTCATGTTATTGTTCGTTCCCCTAACTTAGGGTTTCCAGAACCAGCCGCATCACCCAAGACTCAAGACTCGAGACGCTGGTGGTCAGCGGCGGCGCTCGGGGTTGCGCGGGGGCAGCCCGCGGAGGCAGCACAGGCCGGCTTCCGCAGGTGGCCTGGGCGTCGTGCGCGGCGTTCTCCATACCCGGCCGCCGAAAAAAGTCCAACAGTGGGGGGACGGGGAGCCCGAGGCCTCCTGGTCTGGCAGCGGGCCCCCACGAGGAGGAGGAGGAGGAGGAGGAGAGGAGGAGGAGGAGGAGGAGGAGGAGGAGGAGGAGGAGGAGGAGAAGGAGGAGGAGGAGACGTCCCCACAAGTTATTCAGTCGCTTCGCTCACTCCGCCAGCCCGTAGGGTGCCATCGCAGGCGTTTGCCTGCGCGATCGTGGCTTCCCGGGTCCTCTTGGGGGCCGTTTGGGGGCCTCTCGGAGCCTCTTTTCGGGCCTCGCGGGGCCTCCAGGGGGCCTCCAGGGGGCCTCCTGGGCTCTCTTGGGGGCCTCTCGGGCCGTCTTGGGGCTGTCGTGGGGGCCTCTCGGGCCGTCTTGGGGCTGTCGTGGGGGCCTCTGGGGGGCCTGAGAGAGCGCACCCAGAAGGAGAACCATTTCCGAGTAAAGGTTCGCCAGGGATCAGCCAGGGTACTTTTGATCCGGGGACCCCCAGGGGCAGCCCCGCGCGCGCGAACTAGAAAACTTCCAAACTAGTTACCGGAGATCTTAGCAAGCCTCTGGCCCGTTGGGCCGGCGAATTCAGGAATCATGCTTGCGCCTCAACGTCGAACACGACCCCTGGTAACGAATACACTAAGGTGCACATGGCCGTGCTCTCACTCCTGTCCCGCCTGTCATGTCAGCGTTCCTAGGAATCCTTAGGAATACCTAAGACTGCACATTTTCATAAGCTGACCTCCTACTCCTCGACTCGCCTCTTCACCTTCGGTGCAATTAGGGTGCTTTGCTGGGGTCATTTTGAGATCCTTGTGAGACCTCCGGAGACCTCTAGGGAAAGGGGAAAGAAGGACAACCTGAGCAGCGATATCATCGAGTGCATGGGCACGAGCAGCAGTGAGTTCATCGTCAACCTGTTCAAGCACGACGTGAAGTATGCAGAGGTGCTGAACAAGGAGGATGTGTCGGGGGAGGATGCTCAAGGAACAGGGCGACTGCATGGAGGGTAAGCAGAGTGGAAAGGGGCTGGGGGCAGTGCGGTGTGACGATGGACCATGTGGCACAGGCGACTACGACAGCCCCAGTGACGCGGACTCCCTTGCGCGCGCTTCTGTGCATAACTTTCGTGGTGAGGGCCGTTTCGCCTCCTGCCCCTCTGCCCCCCAGGCGCCGTTTCGCTCCGTCGGCGAGCTCGCTGCTGGTGTCGTCTCGTGCAGCATCCGCCAGCTCGCCGCCCTGGCGGTCCTCTCTCCGACGTCGCGGCGCGAACTGCGAGGTCGGAGGGCTTGCAAAACAGGGCGGGTGAGGAGAGCACCAAGAAAAAGAAGAAGTACTCCGTGTCCTCCGAGTTCAAGGCTCCGGGGCTGGGGTGAGCTTCCCGCGGGATCGGCAGGCAGCCCAAGGGGGCCAGGGCGTCATGCCGAGCAGCACGGCGAGCACGGTGCAGCGAGCGGCAGGCAGGATGCAGCCAGGGTCTCGTGCCAAACGACGCCTTGGAGGTCTGGAGGGTGATAGGCATGGGGGACACACAGAGTCAGTGATGGAGATGAAGAGTGGGACAGCGGTAGAGATAGACACACGGATGGAGACGGAGCGCGAGGATGATGTCCGTGTGGGCAGACATGTATCGTGTCAGATGGGCAGGCAGACGTATCCAGGAGAAGGCCGGATGCCATATCATAACATATCCAGCCTGCTGCGGCAAATCCCGCCACAGTGCCAGCGCAGCAGCGCAGCAGGAATGATGCTGATTACAAGATCCCCTCCAACTCAGCGCCCTGTCTGTTCTCCTCCCTCCTCCCAGTGTCTGAACTGGCGCGGGTATCGAAATCCATCTCTTCCTCTTTCCATGCGGACTCCTTGCCTTCCCCTCCATGAGAAAGCGCTACCGTCTCCCAAGGCCTGGACTGGCGAGGGTCTTAAACTCCACCCCTTCCGCTTCCTCTCGAGCCTGCCTGTCTCCCCATCAGCGCCAGGAGATGAGGATCCACAAAGGGGGATGCTGATGCTGATGATGATGCTGATGATGATTATGATGATGATGCTGCTGATAATGGTGGTGGTGATGATGCTGATGGTGATGCTGATGCTGATGGTGATGCTGGTGATGATGATGATGATGATGATGATGATGATGATGATGATGATGATGATGATGATGATGATGATGATGCTGCTGCTGATGATGATGATGATGATGCTGTCGATGCGGCTGATACAGCTGATGATGCTGTTGCTGATGATGCTGATGATGATGATGGTGGTGGTGGCGATGCTGCTGCTGATGATGCTGATGATGCTGATGATGCTGATGATGCTGATGCTGCTGCTGATGATGATTATGCCGATTGTGACGACGACGATGACGACGATGGTGATGATGCTGATGATGATGGTGATGATGAGGATGAGGATGATGATGCTGATGAGGATGATGATGCTGATGCTGATGTTGATATTGATGCTGTTGTTGATGATGATGATGTTGATGATGATGATGATGATGATGATGATGATGATGATGATGATGATGATGATGATGATGATGATGATTATGATGACGATGACGATGATGATGATGATGATGATGATGATGATGATGATGATGATGGTGGTGGTGGTTGTGGTGGTGGTGGTGACGATGACGATTGATGAGGATGATGATGAGGAAGAGAAGGAGGATGAGGAGGAAGAGGAGGAGGAGGAGGAGGAGGAGGAGGAGGAGGAGGAGGTCGAGTTCCAGACCCGCTACAATTTAGTGCACAGTGCCTCATCTGAACTGGTGCAGGTCTTGAGCGGCCCCTTGTCCGAAGCTTGCTCTCCTATTCTCCCCTCTTTCCTCCTAGTTCCTCCTCCTCCCCCCCTCTGTTTACCTCTCCCTCAATCCCGACCTCTTGTGACTCTTTTGGGAGCCTGTTGCGCGTTTGGGGTCAGTTGGTGGCCCGTCGGAGATCTCGAGGCCGTCTTGAGCGCAATGCTTCCGCCGAGCTCACCTGAAGAGGCTCGATTGATCCATCTCGGGGGCGTCTGGGCGGGTTTTGCGGTCGTCATAGGGCCCTCTGGGGCCGTCCTGGGGTGTTCACGGGCAGTTTTGGGGCAACCCGGGGGCTCCTTCACAGCAACGCCAGGGAGGGCGACTTTCGGACTACGCACGCGCGTCGGGTGGGTGGGTGGGTGGGTGGCGGGGAGGTCGGCCTTGTCAAACACGAAGGAAGCCCATCGAGACAAGAGACACGCATTATAACACTAACACGCCCCAGCGTGCCGCTGGCACGGTGGCAGAAGATGTAGATGCAGTGCACATACCTAAATGCACACATGTAGAGAGACAGACCGCCACATCTTCACCCCGCGCCGCAAACGTGGCCACTTCTTCCTACACCACCCATTTCTCTCATCTGGGCAGCCCTCTACCTCTTGCCCTGAACGTGGAGGGTTAGGTGTTCGTCCGTGTGTGATTTGGTAGTGCTGCAGCCTTTTGTGCTCATGCCAGCAGTGGTTCGCTCGGTCATCTAACAGCTTCATCACTAGTGCAGTCAAGACGCCGAAACAAGACCGCTTTGCATTCAGGAGGGACTCCGATATGCGGCCGTTCCTTAGATCTAGGTCGGGGGGCTTATTCATGGCCGAGGCTCGCCGTGGCCAGAAAAGCCCTACCGTTCCTTATCCGGCGTTCCTGATGATAGCACAATGGCTGCATGCAGTGTTCTGGGGGGCTGCCTCTTGCAGATTGTGCGCGCGGTGCTTGCAGGCAGGGTCTTGCACTCCCGATCTGAGGGGCTGGCTTTGTCCTGGTCGGCCGTGCGTGCTTGAACCGCAGCAGCTCTGACCGCCTGGGCCACGATGGCCTCATGCTGGCTCCCACCCCACCGCCCGTATTCTCGGCCGTAGGTGCTCGAGCAGATGTTGCCTTTCTGCGCGACCACTTGCGAACCCTACCCACGCGGGTCCAATCGACGCTGGGGTATCGGACACCCCCGCTGGGGCTCACCTGGCTGCAGACATCCTTCAATCTAACCTGCAGGGGTAGTCGGCGGCGAGCGGGGCGGGGGAACTGAGAAGGGGCGGGCCTTCTCAGAAGACTTGGAAGTCCCCTGGCCTTTGAGACGTGTTCTAAGCCTTCCCCGAAAACGCAGACAACAACTTCTCAGAAGGCGCGACAGCTTCTGAGAAGCCCCGCCGCCTTCTGATAAGGCCTTCTCCTTATCACTTCCCCCCCTCGCTCGCCGCCGAGGGAGGAGGAGGAGGAGGAGGAGGAGGAGGAGGAGGAGGAGAAGGAGAAGGATAGAGGAGGAGGAGGAGAAGGAGGAGGAGGAGGAGGAGGAGGAGGAGGAGGAGGCGGAGAAAGAGGAGGAGGAGGAAAAGGAGGAGGACGAGGAGAAGGAAGATGAGGAGGATGAGGAGGAGGGGGAGGAGGAGGAGGAGGAGGAGGAGGAGGAGGAGGAGGAGGAGGACTTCCAGGACTTCCGCCATCACGTAGTGATAACCAGGCTCGAAGCCCAGCGCTTTGGAAACAGGCCGCGATATATCCTGCTCGGCCTGACCGACATAACCGCACGCGCAGCAATACCACACACGACGGTCTTTCTGATATAACAAGGCGTGTGAGGGATGGGTCCAGCCCCCAGCCAAGTGTAGACGCCGCCCCCTCGGAACACTGACTCATTGACTGTTTCCATGCTGGAGCTGGAAGCACCCCGTTTTTAACCATCACTACAATGCCACATGGGTGGCAGAGCCTTTACACTCACTGCACGCCCTCCCACTTTCGGTCAGGGTGTGGGTGGTCGCGAAGCGTGCAACAGCCATAGGAGGAGGGGGAGGCGGAGGGGGGGGGACCAGAGCGGACCGTAGCACCCGCCTCTCACGAAGTCTGGGAGGATCGAATGGAATCGAGGCCAACTCTCAAAAGCATCCGACGCACAAGCGTGGCTTTGTGTTCAATGGACAGAACCTTGTGACGACTGTCCTGGGAAGCTCGCGCTCGTGCGGCAGCATCTCCAGCAAGGACGTCAACAGGCATTGCCAATCACTAGCCAGCTCGGAACGTGACTTGCCCCCATCTGCGAGGGGGCTTGCATACTGACAACGCTGGTGGGACGCCTCGACTGCTCCAACAAGTGCGTGCCATCCCCTCTCCAGAGATCAGCCTGTGGCCCTTCGGGCCTTCGAAAATGCTCGGCATGCCACCCCCTCGCTACTTCAGCACAGTCGGTAGCGTACACGGGCACACCGACAGAGAATCGGAGGGCCCACCGAAACACTAAACGTTCGCCCCGAGGAGCGCCCTGAGAAGGCCCAGGGGGCGGGCCCACCAGGAACGGCCCCCAAACAGGCGGATCATAGCTCGCAGTGCTAGTGACAGCCAGGCCTACCCTGCGGAGCCTCGAGTCGTTGGTGTCACGACCCCCCGAGGCGTACCCGAAAAGAACAAGGGGGTCTTCAGGCAGCCCTCCTCCACAGAGCCTCCGAGCAGGTTGCCTCCGAGGAAAGACTCGTCCGAGGGGGGGGGATCTGGGTCCAAGGACCGGGGTTCACCCACTCATCCAAACGCAGGAGAACGCTTCAGATTCAGCAGTTGCCTGGGGCAACAGCTCACTGGAGTCAGCATCAGCCCTGGAGATGGAGCTGGCGTTAGCCTCACACGCCCAACTACGACGAAGAGGTGCCCCTCGCTCTTTGCCACATCTCAAACACACATCCGACTCACGAAAGGTTAGCTTGTTGGATGCGCTCTCGCGTCCAAAAGCCGCCCGCCACGATGGACTCGAGCAACTTAGGCAGCTGCCTGCCCTTCTTCACGTCCTGTAGATCGTGGGTTATGTATTGCAGGGGGGGGGGGGCATGTCCGTGCCTTGCTCCAAACCTGCACCACATACCAAACACGCTGCACCTTGCCACTGTCGAAGCTCGATGGTCCGCTGAGGCTCGTCCCAAAGCGGGCCCGCCCGGTCCAGCGCCTCGAAGTCACTCCCCCGAGCGTGCGTCTGCGAGGAGCCGTCATACGGCACCACCCGCTCCGAGGTCGGCGCCCCCGCCCCGCCTCCGACAGATGCGGACTCACGGAGAGTCATTGGCCCACGGACGTGCCGCCCCCCCTCCCCGTTGACCCACTGGCAGACTCGTAGGGTGCGCCACAGCTCTTGGCCAAGCACGCACAAGGAACGGCCGAAGCTGGGGATTGGACAGCCAGACGCTCAGCCACTGCGAACGACAGTGACGCCGAAACTGCACTCCAGGGTCGCTGCCAGGCAGCCGAAGCGCCAGCATCGTGGTGAGGCACCTCCCGCTCTTGGCGGATCCCGCCGCCGCGCCAAGCCGCCTCCACTGAGCCAGCATCGCCGTGCCGAATTGCCCGTGCACGTGATGCTCGTAGACGGCAGCTGCCTACGGCCCTGCGCTCTGGAGCTTGGCCGACACACCACGCTTTTGTCGGCGATCGCCAGCTGCAACTTGGAGAAGAGCTGGATCGTCGCCAACACCCCCTTGATGAGCGTCGTCCTCATGTGACCTCGACCCCGATACACGTTGAGACAGATCGTCGATCCACATCCGCTCGCTAAGCGGGACATGCGCCTCGCAGAGCCGCTCGCACACGTACGCCGTGAGGCATTTGGCGAACCTCGTCCCGTTCCTGAGCCCCTGCACGACCGAGCGCGTCACCCGGAAGGGCTCGCCGAAGATCCGATCTGCTCCAACATGCGAGGCGCCAAGCAGATTTGGAGCTCAAGATGCAGCATGAGCACTGGGACACCCTTGCGCAGCGCACAGGGGGTGAGGGGCTCCCATTACCGTCTGGCCGTGCGGGATATCCAGACGAGTGTGCACCTCGTCCTGCAGCGCCCTCACGAACGCCTCCCTGAGGACGCTATCGCCAGCGACGGCCGCGTTCCAGTGGTCAGTCTCGGCCTGCGCCGCCGACCACTCCTTTATCTGTACCTCCCTGGCCATGGGCCAGACGCGGCACAGCATGGCGATCGGGCCGATGCCGCGGTCACCGCCCGACTTCTTTCCAAGCAGCTTGCCCACCCCACACACGATCTGCCGCGGTCACGAGAGGCCCTCATCGGAAGAGGTCGCAGAGACACTGGATGCCCTCGTCTGACGGCCGGTCCGTGTCCGTCGGGAATAGCCTGTCGATCCCGAGGCCAGCCCGCGCCTTCATGCGACGAAGCGCCTCGCGGACGTCGGCCACCGACAAAGGGGCCCGCTGCTACACCTCAGCCCGACTGCGGACGGAGTCCATTTTGGTGAGCACACTCTGCCACGATGCAACCTTCGACTCCCGCAACTGATTCTACCGAACGACCTTGCAATCGACGGTGTCCTCAGGATGTGCCAGCACCGAGCCGTCGTGGCCGTGTAGTTCGTCACGCTCAGGGTCCGCGTCCTTCATCGTTCGGAAAACCTGCCCTTGGGACTCCAGGCTGCTGAACCAATGCTGGAAATCTTTCAAAGAAGCGGCAGTGGCACAATTGTGAGCTCTCCTAGAGGCCCTGAAAGCCTTCTCTTCCAGGGTCACTAGCTCGTCTAGGGAGGTCGGTCACGCGCCGAAGATCCTGAAGCAACGCCTGCCACGACCCCTCGTTGACAGGAAAAGAAGTTCCAGACCCGTCGACTGGTTGATCCGCCAATCTTGTAGCCGCCTTCGAAAGGTATCCCAGCTGCACCACCCCATTGCTGCGCCTCCGATAGCGCGAAACCCGCTGCACAACATTGTGGATCCTTGACCACCAAGTTGAGATACCGTCCCTGAGCGGCTCCTGCCGAACGTGCTCGGTTTGCTTGACAGAAACGTAACACTCACAGCTCTCACCCAGAAGATCTGGACCGAGCTGGGGCTGCTAGATCGTGATGCTCTGAGATGGCCAACTCTGCGGCTTCGACCCAACGGCGCGAAGGCCCCACATATGGGTGAGACGTGCTGCCCGCCAGTCTGGAAGGCGAGGGATTGTTTGATAGGGGGCCAGACGTCGTGAAGAGAGTGTGTCGTCCGAGGGACTTGAGCCAAAGCGGCTGCCCAGGCGGACGAGGTGAGAGCGAAAGAGTGTAGAGGGGCAGGAGAGGCAGCAGCACCAGCGGGGACAAGACTGTCAGCAGCCCCCTCCAGGGGACCGTCGTTCCGTGGACGCTCCGCTGGGGGGGGACGGCTGCATCTCCTCACTCTGAATTGCTGGACCCCCTCCAGGAGCGTCGTCTCTACAAGCGGACAGCCTAGGCGGAGGGACAGACAAGGACTCTTCGGCCCAAGGGTCCTCCTCCTCCTCCTCCTCCTCCTCCTCCTCCTCCTCAGAAAGATCACCGAGGCCCTCTTCCTCAAGAGGACCGCCCGCGACCCGCGGCGAAGCCCTGAGCGCATCGCCACGGGATGTGGGCCGAGATCTCCGGGGGTCGGCGGGCTCGGGAAGGGTCCTGCTGGACAAGAGATCGCCATGCAGCTCCTCGCATTCACCGGTGAGCCGCTCTCTTTCTTTCTCTTGGCCCGCTCCGCCTGCTCGATCTTTTTCGCGCTGGACTTCGGCTCGGCTTTGGCTGCAAGAGAAGGGCGCGGCACTCACTTGTGGCAGCTCTGGGAGCGACGACCAACGATCTGGGTAGGAGCTGGGAGGGAGTGAGGGAGGAGGAGGAAGGAGGGAGGAGGAGTGAGGGACCACGGTGGTGGGAAGGAGGAGGGAGGAGGGAGGGGAGGAGGAGGAGGAGGAGGAGGAGGAGGAGGAGGAGGAGGAGGAGGAGGAGGAGGAGGAGGAGGAGGAGGAGGAAGAGGAGGAGGAAGAGGATGAGGAGAGCCGGAAGAGAAGAGGAGGGGAGGCAGGAGGAGGTGGAAAGAATGGGCGTGTCCAGGACCAGCTCGTCAGCCTGATGGACATCGTGGACCTCACCGATCCGCACTTCATCCGCTGCATCAAGCCGAACCCGCAGAACGAGCAGGACTCCTACGACAGGACTGGCCCGCTTCAACGGCCTCGCGCCCTCGGAAGGAGGAGGGAGGAGGCGGGAGGACGAGGAGGGAGGCATCAGGGGTGAGTCGGGATCGGGTGTTTCGAGGGTGAGTGGGAGTTGGCCAGAGCATCGCAGCAAGCCATGCCCGGGCTGGGCTTTTATTCCCTCGAGACTCTGTTTGCCCTCGGGGGGTCGCCGCGGGCGGGGGGGCCTGGGAGCTTTTTTGTTCCAAGGCCGGGGGCGGCGGGCATTTCTCCCTCGAGTCTTTCTTCCCCACCCTCCGTGGGGTTCTTGCTTTGGTTCGGGCATCGCGCACACACACACACACACTCACGGCGAGCAGGAAACTCCGAACAGGCCGATCCAAATCAATACCAGGGGTTAAAATTAGGCGCACGCGCTCAAGAAGAACCTGCAAGAAGAGAGGCCGAACGATACACATACACACATATACATATATACATACATGTACGGGGAGAGAGAGAGAGAGAGAGAGAGAGAGAACAAAACAACATACACAAATAAAGAGACACTATAAGAGGAAAGAAGAAGAGGAGGATACGCCCAACCTAGCTCCAACCACTGCTTCGCCGTGGCCGATGACACCAGGCGGAGGAGGGAAAGGGAGGGGGTGCCCATGGCAGCAGTTGAATCATGTGCCAATACCCTTCCTCGATCCAGAAGCACCTCTGGGCCTGCCCTTACGAGAGTGAAGCTTGGCCTCTCGGGGCGCCGTGCCCCACCAGCTCGCAAGTCTTCCGCCATCAGTGGCGGGCTACTGCCAGGGCCTTCGCCTCTGCGCACGTACAGTGGAGGCCCGACCACAAGAAGCCTTCCACAAGAAACCCAACCCTGAGACCCCAGGACGTCCCTTCACTGTTGGTGTGGGAACGCCACGCTTTCCATCGCAAAACCATCGAGACCCAAGACACCCGGGGCACCCTGGAGGCAAGTTGGGTGTTTCGTGGCATGGGTCTCCACTGTATCCTTGGTTTCTCCCCTGGCTCATCCTCTCCACCACTGTACCCTCAAGCCAGCCACCCCCGCACCACAACTGCAGAAGAGGATGCGAGTGGCACGCTGCATTCTGCCCTGCTGCTGGAGGAAACGAGACGGGAAGGGGGAATTGATGAAGAAGCAGGGAAGGTGTGGATGATCAACTACCCGTTGCTACTCAGCTCGGCTCTGAGCATCAGTGTAGATCAGGCTTGCAGCTTCAGGCGGCCGCTAGGCCTTGACCTTCAAGCTGATGCATGAAGCGAGATGGCAGGATCGGGGGGGGGGAATACTCTCCCTTCACCGCCAAAGTATACACAACACACCCCACGCAAGCACAGAAACACGTACCCACACTATGATACTCGAAACCCTCCGCACATGCACAGGCAGCCGTCTCTCGGATGGGGGCGGGGGAGCGGAGCTTGGAGGGAGGAGGGGCATGAGAGGGGACATATTCCTTTGCTCGAGCTCTGGGCGGCCTTGCGGCCTCAGCCTTCGAAGCTCGACGCCCCTTCTTGGAAACCTAATGTCGCTGACGCTTGTCTTCAGCTGCTCGCGCTCCCGTGCAGTCAGGATCTGCTTCTCAAAGGTCGGACACGTGAGAATACTCTGATCAAGCGACTGGTTAATTTGTTTTCTTTGGCTCTCGAGATGCTCACATAACGCTTTGAACGCCAGCTGCGAAGTCTGCGCGCCACTCTCTACATCCAGCGTTTGAACTCTTCTCTGAGTCTGTGAACCTCCTGCAGGTACTGCTCCCTGAGGTACTCCACTCCTTGTTTGAGCTATTTTTCCATGTGCGCCAACTGGACCTGCAAGCTGAGCGTCTTCTCGCCGAGCTCGTTGCAAAGCTTCTGGAGGCTCCCTCCATCGGGTTGCCCTGAGGCCTTGCTGTGGTCCTCCGTCCTCTGGTGCAAGACCGCGGCGATGTGCTCCGCCTTCTGCTCGAGCTCTCTGGCGTGCCCGATACACCACTGCAGCCACACAGGCTTCTCCTCTCGAGAAGCATTTAGTTGTTTCTCCTCTACGTGCTGGTTTGCGTGGTACAGGTGAGACCCATTCCAAGAAGCACCCTGCCTCCAGGGTGCCCTGGATTTCTTGGGTTTCGATGGTTTTGCTGTGGAAGGCATGACGTTCCCACACCAAAAATCAATGGACGTCCTGGGGTCTCAGGGTTGAGTTTCTTGTGGAAGGTTTCTTGCGGTCGGGCCTCCACTCTACGTGCTGGTTTGCGTGGTACTCGTTGCTACTGCTGCTGCTGCTACTGCTGCTGCTGCCATTTGTCAGGTTCTCAACTGGCGCATGTGACGCGCGAATGGCGGTCATGGCCAGGATGTACCACAGCACACCGCCCAACATGTAACTGCTGAACCTTCTTCGCCAGGTCGTTATACCCACGATGGCGCAGTCCAATGTCGATCGTCTTGATTGCGGCCTTTCTCTCAAGGCCCAAACAAAGCCTCCCCTGCCTCCTTCTTGACAACTTCGACGCCATGAAGCAGCGTACCTGAGGCCTCGACGTCTGCGGATGTTACCGCCGCGACAGCTGCAGCGACCGGCACTTTCTCAAGCAGGTACTGCTTGAGAGCTCTCCGGAATCCCAGGTCAACACGTCCTCCACCACGCCATGCAATGAGCACATGGGGCAGTGCCCCTGAGACTTCACTCAACAAGCAAGACGTACAATACCAGAAGGTATGGAAATTAGAACCTTCCAGTGGGAGGAAATCGCGCCTTGACCCCAATGGTTACGGATAGGGCATCGCGGTCTCCAGTCTTCCTCCTCCTCTTCCTCCCGCCGCCCTTTTCCGCTTCCTTCCTTTCTTCCCGCTTCTTCCTACCTGCCTCCTACGTCGCCATGCCTGGGGAGCTGCAAAGTGTGAAGCTGTCACCACATCTGAGGGCTGCTTGGGGATCCAGCGGAGTGACGCCCTGCCAGGGACTCAGATTAGACCTCGCCATCCCTTGGGGGCTCCGCTTGCGCTTCTCTCTGGGCGTTTTCCGCAGAACTTGGCGCACCGACTTCGTGACACCCACACACATGCACACGCACACACACATACACACACGCACACACGCACACAGTTCGAGTAACGTCCAGTCGCCGGGGCCAGTGACTAGTCTGGGCGATTCGCGCCATCGCGCTTCAGTGCCGCTCGCCTGGATCACCACAAGCATGTGCACAGTTCGATGCTTCGCTGCCAGAACGAGCCATCCCGCCGCGTATCCTCCGCCCCCCGCGCCCTCGCTCCTCGCGGAGCCGGGCGGAGGAAGAGCGTCACGGAGCAGCTGCGGTACGGCGGCGTGCTGCAGGTGGTGCAGGTGAGCCGCGCAGGCTACCCGGTGCGCATCAACCACCAGGAGGGGCGGAATCGACGAACATCAACAATGTCTGCGTGGGTGTCTGCGTGTGTGTATATATCTTTGTCCATATATATGTATATATATATATATATATATATATTCATATCGCTTCGCGCCATGCACCTTGGTCCTTGAAGTTTGGTATGCAGGCGGAATAGCAGAAGGTCAAACCGACAATTTAGCGATAGCTCCTTGTTGCCTTTTCTGGCATCGCCGCTATAATCATGTTGTTCGTTATCCTTCCTCCATGCTTATTTTTCCCCATTTTCGCCAGACCCTGCGTATTCTCCCCGTCCTCCTCAGCTCTTTTTTGCGGAGGCTCCTCCTTGGAGAGCCTCTGGGGGCCTCACAAAAGCTGTTTCAGGCTTTCTTAAGGCCTTCTGGAGGCCTCCTGGGCGTACTCTTGGGACCTCTGGAGGCTTCCTCGGGCCACCCTGCCTCCAACCGCGGTCTCCCTGAACCACCTGGTCACGATTTGGAATTCTTCGGAGGGTGTCTTGGGGCCATCTTGGGCCGCCATGGGGCTCTCTAAGGGCCGTCTTGGACCCGTGTTGTGCCGTTTTGGGGCTCTCTTGGACTGTCTGGAAGCCCTTTCGGATGGTTGTGGGGCGATTTTGGAGCCTCCCAAGCGGCTTCGGACGCCCAGAAGACCGCCGCCTTGGAGCGTCGGGAAGCCGAAAAGAGGAGAACCCCCAAATTCACCAAACACCAATTGAAAATCAATGATTTTGCCTCTTTGGGCCTTCTTGGGAGTGCTCTTGGAGGCCTCTTTGGGGCCGTCCTGGAGGCCTCTCGGGCCATCTTGAGGTCACGTCGGTCACTCTTGGAGCGCTCTTGTGCTGTCTTGGGGATCTCTGGGACGTCTCCGATGACCCCCCTGATCGCCCTAGGTGTGCTTGGAAGGCTTGGCAAAACGCCCTGCGAGGCCCTGGGGGCCGCTTCGAGGCCCGTCAGGAGGGTCCCAAAACCCCAAATCTTGGGAGTCCGTTTTTTGGGGGGCGGTGGGGGGTTTTCCCCCCGCCCGGGCTTGTAAAAATATAGGGAGAGGAATACGTAGCACCCCGCAGATGCGGATAAGAGTGAGGGGGCGGTGGGGACGTCGGCAGTCTGCGAGACTCTGGAGAAGCTCGCCGCAGACGCCAAAGTTTCACACATTATACAACGAGCCCGCCGCAGGCTTTCTTCGAATCAATGTGGATCGGTCGCGGGTGGGTCGCGAGTCGGTCGCGGGTGGGTCGCGGGTGGGTCGCGGGGTGTGTCGCGGGTGGGTCGCAAGTGGGTCGCGGGTGGGTTGCGGGTGGTTCGCGGGTTGGGTCGCGGGTGGGTCGCGGGGTGGGTTGCGAGGTGGGTCGCGGGGTGGGTCGCGGGGTGGGTCGCGGGGTGGGTCGCGGGTGGATCGCGGGGGGGACGACGACAACAAAGGTCGCGGGGTTGGTCGCGGGTGGGTCGCGGGGGGGACGACGACAACAAACAACAACAACAACAGCAGCAACAACGACAACACCAACAACAAGAACACCAACAACAACAACACCAACAATTACTAGCACGTGGGGACACTCCGTTCTCACCAGTGCCAGGGTTTTCATAGGAGGCGGGCAATACCCCCACTTTGTGGGGGGGCCGGTTCAAGCTCTACCAAATTTCCAAACGACTCTTCGCCACCACCCACACCCAGCTTCCCGCCCTATGACGTTCGGACACTTCACTTCGTGGCATGCGGACGACCGTGGCTACTATTCAGGGCCCCGCGGCCGACGACGACGGCGTGCGCGCGCGAAGAAAAAACGAATGTGTCCCGCATGGTATTATTTGACAGGGATGATGGCCCTGGCAGGTGCGCAACCGTTGTCGCAGAAGTTCGAAAAAGTTGCTCGCAAAAGCCCGTTTGACAGAAATGTTTAAAAAGTGTTGGGTTTCCTACGAATCCGCAAGAGCGCGCGGGATGAGATTTTGACAATTTTTTGTTGAAAAACCATTGGTTTTTTGATGTTTTTATGTTAAAATCGCTGCGAACACTAAGGTTTTGGAAGGATTTCGTCTTGCGCGCGCGAATGTCCACTTTACCTTATTTTTTGCAAGGGATTCTTGAAATTTGATTATATTAGAACAAGAAATGTCATTTTCTATTGTTTTTTGCAAGGGAAAGCGGATTACAACAAAACAACCGGATCCTGTACACACCCTCTTTTCTGAGGCTTCCTCACGAAAATGATGAAAATGTAGCTGCGGCCTAGGCGGCGCAGGGGGGGCGCGCACCAGGGGGCCCAACAATAATTATTCTTTAGAATAAATAATGTTCAACACCACCACCAACAACACCACCAACAACACCAGCAACAACAACACCAACAACGACACCAACACCAACACCACCACCAACAACAACACTCACAACAACACCAGCAACAACACCACCAACAACAACAACCACAACAACAACCACAACAACAACAGCAGCAGCAACACCAACAACATCAACAACAGCAGAACAACAACAGCAACAACATCAGCAACACCAGCAATAACAACATAAGCAGCAGCAACAACAACATCAACACTATCAACACAACAGCAACACCAGCACCACCAACAACAACAGCACCACCAACAACACCAGCAACACCAACAGTCGTTATACCGTCATGCGCGATGCTTCCACACGCAGCATGCGACCGTCATGATAACCATCCCCATCATGGGGGACTATTGTTCTATCGCGGGGGTTCGTTATGTCCATTCTCAGATCTCCTGCCCAATGACGTCTTGCAAACATTTCGTCCGAGGAATTTCAACATATCCCGCCTCGAAAACACATGCCCGCCCCCTGCTGCGCCGATGCGAGACCGCCAGTGGAACCCCAGCCAAGGGTAAAGCACAAGGAAGTATCGAGCGATAGGATTGGCTTGGTGGGGATGGGGGCTGTCGGCGGCGAGGCAAGGACCTGGCCCTGAATAGAAAGGGAGGAAGTCTCGAGCAGTGGTGCTGTTGTTGCTGGGAGGGGCGCCAATGCAGACGAGAGTAGGGCGCTAGTCCAGCGTGAAACAACACGAAGTCTCGAGCGGGAGCGCTGGTTCTTTTGGGACGGCGGTTGTCGGCAGCGAGGAGGAACACCGCGTTGAGTAAGAAGGGCAGGAGTCTCGAGCGGGAGCCGCGGTTTTGTCGGGACGGGTGCTGTCGGCAGCGAGGAACAGCACCGTCTTCAGGAAAAAGGGAGGGAGCGTCGAACGGGAGCGTTGTTCTTGCTGGGGTCGTCGCCAATTCGAAAGATAGTTGAGCGCCAGTCCAGCGTAAAACGGGTCGGGCGGGAGCGCTGGTTTTGTTGGGGCGGCGGTTTTCGGCGGCGAGCAAAAGCACTGGCCCTGAGTAAAAAAGGAGGAAGTCTCGAGCGGGAGCGTTGTTCTTGCTGGGGGCGGCGCCGATGAGAGAAAGAGTAGCGCGCCAGTCCAAGGTAAAACGGGAAGAAATCTCGAGCGGGAGCGTTGGTTTTGTTGCG